AAGAGAGCAATCTCTTTCTGAAAGGAAGCTCTCTCTCTCTCTCCACACACACACACACACACACACACACACACACGTATTAAGACAAAGGCCATATGAAAACACCTGAGAAGGGAGCTCTGTGCATCCAGCAAGACAGACCTCCCTGAGAAGTGGATCAAGTTGACCTTGGATTCACCAGCCTCCACAACTATGAGAAAAGAAATTTTTGTCGTTTAAGCCTTCCAGTTTATGGTACTTTGTTATAGCAGCCTGAGAAAACTAAGATACTCACTTCATTAAACCTTGATATCCTTGGGTTCTAGGAGTTACTCTGAGACTTGGACCATACTGGAGCATAGACAACTCTATTTCCTATTGTTCAAAGGGGAATAACAACACTGCCTCCTCTCTTAGCAGTTATTTTAGCACTGGTTGGTTAATATATGGGAAAGTACTGTATAAATGTAGATAATTATTGCTAAGTTAAGTAGAAATTACTTTTCCTTATCTTCCCCAAACCTAAACATAGCCAATTTAGAAAGGGATGCTGGCTTCATCATGCATGATGTGGACACATTTGCATTTGGGTATTATTCTTCTTGAGTTCCAAAATTAACTCCTCATGTAGACCATTAGGTGGTGATGCTAATGATGAAATTATTAAAGACCTCTGATAGTCACAAACAGGGACAAAAATCATAATAATAGAAGACAATAACACCAGAATATTCACAGTAACACCAGGCATAACACACACATCATATTTCATGCTACCATTTCTGAACATTTTGCATCAGTTTTAGCATTTTTAAAATATTGTATTTATAGACAGATGTTAGGCATATATCTCAAGACTAAAGAAATATTTGAGAAAAAATGATACGATGAGAATTGTGAAAGCAATTTAAAAGTATCATTAAATGACACATACGATTATCTCTAGAAAAAGCCTAGATTCCAAGGATTGTTAGGCTAAGACATAAATGAGTTGTTTGGGGGAATCATAACGGTCATTACTTTCTGTCAAGGTTAACAGCAAATATTGATGTCATCACTTAAAACGAGGGAAAGTGAGAAATGAGCAGGACACAAGGCAAATCTCACCTTCCTCACTGCCCTCCAGTTCCTTCGATGCTGTTCTGGCTCTGTGGACGGTGTCTGTGAGGAACTTTCTCGGGTTCAATCATCTCCTCTCTCCTACTTCTCTGCCTCCTACTTACTCTTCCCTTTCGCTGTTTCTCTTCCTAGGAAGTTGGAGTAAGAGGAGGCAACACCCATGTAAAGCCTCGAGGATTTACCTTCTGCTTGCCCGTAAGCTCATTGAACGTTCATTTCTTTGGCTTTAAAGACAAATGCATTTAGACCCTCTAGACTTTGAACAACTAGCCCTGCTCTGTGCTATTTCCTTCCCTCCATCTCGACTGCTAGTGAGGAAGCCAGTTCCCGTAGGTTCTTCCTGTATATCCTGTGAAAATTAATCCTAATATAACAACTATGATTTGTGGGATATTTCCTGATATATTAGATATTTTCCTTCATTGTGAATCACAAAAACTGTGAAATCACTAGCGTCCCATTTTACCGGAGAGGAAACTGAGGCTCGGAGAATTAAGTACATTGTGATTCAGTCACGTGGTGACGTAGCTCCAATTTGAACAAACTGCACAGATGCTGAAAACCAGTTGTGCATAACATTCCAGCTCTGTTGCCCCACCCAGAGGAGCATCTGCCCCGACAGGGGTCTGGGACCGAGTAGGAGAAGGTGAAGCCACAGCGTATGAACGAGGGATGTTCAGTGGCTCGTCTGACTGCAGAGTTAACATTATGCCATGTGGGTGTTTGTCAACTTAGCCTACAGTGAAGACCAGCAACAAAGCCCAGATTTTTTAAACCAGAAGTTTCTTTTTGAAGTCTGTAAAAAGAAAGATAGAAATGATTATGTTTGAGATTTATTCAGTTTATCGTAAGCTGCCATTTAAAAAAGGTAACAAGTCAAACAGACTTGGGCACACCTATAAAAAATAGATTCTCCTAAAGACTGAAGAGGAAGGGACAATAAAGTAGTCAAGAAAGAGAAGAAGTAACAATAACCTTCTCCTCGGAAAGTTCGATTGTAAACAAGATTACCTGAATGCAGCTTTTGAGCAGTGATTTTTCACTGTTATTTCCTTAGAGACTAATTCAAGAGTGCAAATGGAATACTTGAAAGTTCCCTTTATATACCATACAATAAATTATTAATCTTTAATAATCAACAATGTGTGCATTTATCATTACTATAAGACATTATAAATTTTTAAAAGTCTTTCATCATTTTATCTCACTCACATATTAATTATTTAATAATAATGCCACCAGGACATCTTCTTATACTATTGAATGGCTTAAAGTCACATCAGAGAAGACGCTCTGACCTAGAATGAGTGCCATCTAAAAGTTGCCTTTCCATCACCACGTGTGTGTCTGTGTGTGTGCTGTTCCCACAAATAACTATAAGTTTGTTTTGTCCTGTCTGGAGGAGGAGGAATGTCCCTGCTGGAGGCTGCTCTGTGTGGGAAGAGAAAGAGGCTGATGCTTAAAGGCCCTTGGAAGGAATCTACCGAAGCTTCATACCAGACTGGGGAGGACTGGTTACACCTGCCTCAATCTGGCACCCGACAGACACCACTGAAGTAATTCCTTGATACTAGTGCTACCTTGTGACTCTAATATAACTTTCATCAATTATGAGAACCCAGAAAGATAATTCTTACCTTTTTCCATTCTAGACTTAATGGTTAGATTCCAAATTTACCTTTCCCAAAAAGCAAAACTGGAAAGAGCAGGGAGAAGGAGAAAGAGGAGGGGAAGAAGGAAGAGAAGGAAGAGGAAGGAGAATAGGAAAGGAAGGGAAGGAAAGAAGGAAGGAGAGAGAAAGAAAGAAACGGAGAAACGAAGAAAGGAAGGAAGAAAGGACGGGAAATTCTCCTAACCCTGATGGGGTTGGGTCTCTGGTGCCAGGAAATTTGGAAGGAATATTCTTGGGAGTATTTATTTTATTTGGGGCACTAATTGACGTCCTCTGGGAAGGTTACTAATTTATCTGCCCTATTTAGTATATTAAATGACACTATTTTGTACTCTAGTGACCTGAAAAAGTTAATTTATACTGAGTGGCATGAATGACCAATACTCACAGCAAGTCCTGGCATTTTACAATATTCAAAAGAGAGTATTTTTTGTTTGGATATGCTTTGTTTTTTTATTAGTATTTATGGAAAAAGGCAACAAAACGGCCACATTCTTTTGGGGTTACCAGGACAGCTGTTGGGGAGGTAGGGGTCATCTCAGAATGAGAGGTGCTTAACTTAGGGCTCTGGGACTGGGAGAGGAGAGAGTCAGGGGAACCGGAGGAAGGCGGGAGTTTGGGGAGGGAAGGAGACCGAGCGGAAACCCTCCAGCTCTTTCCACGCGGGGCACAGTCGCCTCTGTCCCTCCTCCTTGGGTTCTCTAAACCTCACAGCTGCCTTCTCTTCCAGAGTTTTGTGAGCTGTCACATGGGCCAGAATGGGATTCCGAAGATTATGAGCTGGGTCTTATTCCTCTGGATGTATCAGTTGCCTGGGGCACTAAAATAATTTGAATTGGTTCTGAAATGAAATGTCACTTTTGGAAGAAATTTGTTTAATTTAAGCAATGGGAGGAGGGGGAAGGGGCAGACCCTTGAACCGCATGTACTGGCCTTTGGGATGCTAGAGATACACAACTCCTGTCTTGAACGGGCATAATTACGCATTTTAATCTTCTAAGAGGAATATAGGTCCGCAGGAAAACAGACATGTACTCTTTATTTTGGAGGAAAATATGTTAATCACATAAGGTAAAACTGGATGCTGCTTTCTTTCTTTGAAAGCTGTGAGGATGTCTTTTGTTCCGGAAACCGCTTGGTGCACAACTGCCGGATTGGACCTCTCCATGAAGAGGAGGTGCGATGACCCAGAGCTTGGCCTCGGCAAGCCACAGCCCAAGCCACCCCCTTTATTTTTATAGATCCAGCTACAATACCGAGAATAGCAAATAAATGAACCCAATAGATGAAAATACAAACCATAAGTGAGTAGTGGATCGATGGAAATAGAAATGAAACTTCTAGAACAGATCCCCGCGCGCAGAGCAGGCGTCCTCAAACTATGGCCCTCCGGCCACATGTGGCCGGCTAGGACATTTATCTGGCCCGCCGGGTGTTTTTGTCGCTGCTGCCTGTCCTGCTTAGCAGCCGACTGGTCCCAGGGTCCGCAGTCCGGCCCTCCAACGGTCTGAGGGACAGTGAACTGGCCCGCTGTTTAAAAGTTTGAGGACCCCTGCTCCAGAGGCTCCACGTGTAATTAGAAGGCAAGGCCCGCGGCAAACTAAGACGTGACTTTAAGACCTTTAAATACAACAATTGCTTCGGCAGTGCCTGCCACTGTCACAGAGACAGAGTCAGTCAATTGTCAAACAACAGAGGTTAACCACAGCGAATGGTGGCTCTGCTGTCCCCAGGACTAGGAATGAGGGGAGCTGGAATTTCAGGACATGGAGGGGCCTCCGATTTGCCACTGGTGATTCCCAGCGTCTAGCCCTGCTCTGGGCCTGTGGGGCACACCGGCGCTCTGTCCACGCGGGGCCTCCCAAGCCGCCCTCCGGGTCTCCCTCCCACCTTCTCACTCCCCGGGGAGGGACGTGAACCGGCAGGTGCGACCCAGCAGGGGGAGCGGGTGAGTCGTCAGGCCTAGGGCACCCCGAATGTGTCCTTGGGTGTGGGCGTGGGTGTGGGGCGATTTGGGTGGGGCTGGAGAGGCCACCGCGCCAAGTGCTGTGCCCCTGCGGGGTGTGCGGAGGAGCGGGGATAAATAGGGGTTCCCTCCCGCGACGCTCGCGGAGCCCGCCGCCGGCTGCTTCCCTGCCCTGTCGCCAGGGTGCCAGCCTGGGAGTAGTTTCGCTTCCTACCGGCTTAGTTTCCAGGCACCCGCTCGGGCGCCCGGGCCGGGAAGGGGGCGAAGCTGAGGACCGAGACTCGGCCCGGGGCTGCGCGGCCCCCGCAGCGGGGTGGATGGACCCCGACGCCCCGGGCAGCGGCGCCAGCTCCCTGCCGCTGCTCCTGGCCCTTGCCCTGGGTAAGTGGCCGTGCTGGGCTCCGGAGACTCGGGAGGCGAGTTTGGGGCTGGGGTGGCGGGGAAGGCGAACCCTGAACGGCGCTGCCATCTGGACTCAGGGGAGCGCTGGAGCTGGCAGGTGCGGGTCGGACGGAGAGCTTTGACCCCTGGGAGAGAGCCAGGTGAAGGATCCGGCACTGGGCCCCCAGGCTGCACCTGCTGAAGGCTGTCCCTGCGTGGAGGCCAGGCCCCAGGGCGGAAGGGACGCGGCTGCTGCGCGCAGGTGGCCGGCGGGGGTGGCGCGTCCTGGCGGCCACACTGTGCCCGCAGGCGAGGAGCCCATGCGGGCTGCAGACCCCGAGGGAGGCTGGGGAAAGGGAACAACTTGACTTAAGATGCTGGCAGCGAGTGAGGAGAAGTTGGACAGCAATTCGCTTACAGGTGGGGGACGACGGCTGAAGGGACAGCGCTGGGCATGGACTGTCCCGCCCGTGTTTTTGCTGGGGCAGGTGAGAGAAGCCGGAGGAGAAAAGATTAGAAAAGATTCGCTTCTGAGAGCTGAAGCTCCTGTTGCTGACAGGGAAGCTAAGGAAGGGGAACGACGTCTTTTATCGACCTCACTGTGCCTGTAAAATAGAAACGCTTTACTAGGGATTTGTTATTTTCTATTTTAAGATAAAAATGCGGAAGGTAGAACATTTCTTTATTTCACAGGTTAAATCCTGGGCGGTTAGTTTAGGCCCACTGGCTGTGCCCACCTGGCATGAGGGAGGGCGGGTAGGCAGGCGGTGCTCACACCCTAGAGCCGGGACTTCAGATGTCCCTGGACGCAGGGCTCCAGCGGGGCAGGCTGCCAGGGAGCAAGAAGGCTCCTGCATGGGAAACGCCACCCAGAGGTGCACCTCCGGGAGGCGGGAGGGAGAGGACCCCAGTGACATTTTCTAGTCTTCACCGGGGTGTAGCCACATCTGGACTGGGGGCATTGAGTGTGGGAGGAGGCGGCTCCACAGCCACCTGTCAGCAGGGCAGCACTTGCATCTTCAAGCCTGGGAAGGGGGCATCACAGGTAGAAAGAATGGAAATTTGTGGAAGAAAAGGAGGTAAAATCTAAAACTCTCATTTGGCTATGTCCTTGGAGTAAGACAGGTGGCTAAAAAGGTGCTGTGAACTTGGTTGGAGGTGGATCAGATTTAGGACCAAGAATAAAGAAAAGGGATTAATTCAACAAACCCCACAGAGGAAGAAGTCAGCACCAGTTTAGTGGCAGAGTGATGTGGCCATGAAGAGGAGCAGTGAGGCTGGGACTCAGGAGGTCAGGAAAGGCCACCAACACTTTGCCAGCATCACTTGGATGTAGCTGGCAGCTTCTCCCTCCACCTTGTCTGGTCTGTTCCACCGTCAAGGTCCTCACTGAGAACCTGCCACGCTGGGCAAGATGCAGAAGTGTGTAGAAGTGGGGTGTCAAGAGGACTCAAGAGATTCCTGAGACATAATTATTGCCCCTCCCAAATTTATGTTTAATTTGGGAATGTGAGGCCAACAATACAAAACAATTATGGGGTGTCCCAAAAGTTGCCAAACAGGGAAAGTGGGAAATTGTAGCTAAATGTATCTTTGTTTACAAAATACTCATTATAAAATATTACAGACAGGTGGACTTGGCACCTGTGGCTCAAGCAGCTAAGGCGGCAGCCACATATGCCTGAGTTGGCAGGTTAGAATTCAGCCTGGGCCGGCCAAACAACAAGGATGGCTGCAACCAAAAAGTAGCTGGGTGTTACCGCGGGCACCTGTACTCCAAGCTACTCGGGAGGCAGAGGCAGGAGAATCACTTGAGCCCAGGTTGCTGTGAGCTGTGATGCCACAGCACTCAGGGTGATAGCTTGAGGCTCTGTCTCAAAAAAAAAAAAAATTACAGACAGGTGACCAACATGTAGAAAATATTTTGTAAAATCTTGTAATGGATATTTTGTAAATAAAGGTACATTTAGCTACAATTTCCTGTTCCTCCCCCAACATATGGCAACTTAGGACACGCTGCAGAGAAAAATTCATGAACCCAGAGAAGGGAGGGCTCCACAGTGGAGGGTGGAGTGGCAGAGAGAGGCTTTCTGGAGGCCATGCCTGGGTGCCTTGAGGCGAGGGTAGGATTTGAAATAGTAGAGAAGAAAAGGAGATCAGAGACAAGTTAAAAAGCAGTTAGTACAGGGTTGGTGATGGGAATGAGGATGGGACACTCTACTGGGAAGACATGCAGTTAGCCTGCCGGGAAGTAGAATGTCCGAGAGGCTCACAGATTATCAAGAGCCAAAAATTAAAAAAAAAAAAAAAAGCCAGATTGACACATTTGGACCTGAATGAATACACAGTTACACAAGCACCATCACAGGGCTTGAGTAAGGGTGTAACATGAGGCAATAGTGGTTTACAGGCTGTGAATCTGGCATGGGGTGCAGGTGGGCAGGGAGGGGGGCTGAGGTTGTCTCATACATGTAATCCAGGAACAAGTGAATTGGAGCCTAAATCAGGGTGACATTCCAGCGAAAATGTCAGAGTAGAAATGATTATTCCACCTTAATGAAGACTCCCCCCTTTATTGTCACAGAGTGACATTCTTTTCTCATAAATTGTTAAAAGATAGAAATGAAAATCAAACAAGACTCGGTGCTGTTGTACATGCAGGATAACCTGAATATACAGCCATCTTCCTGAACGGTTGGTTTGGGTGGGAAGTTGAGTTCAGTCTCTAGCTGCGTTGACAGCTCTACTTCTTGCAAAATAGCAAAGGGTATAATTTGTGGGTGTCACTGTTTCCATTAAGTGGTCCTCTTTCTGTCATTCACACTTCCAAGTCCCATTCCTAATTTGTCACGTGTTGTCTTATTTACTTTTTGGACAGACTATGAGCACTATGAGGCACGGTTCACTGGGTGTGTGCATGTGGGGGTGTGGGGGTGTGAGAGAGAGAGAGATGTGCAGCGCCCGGGACAGTGGCCCTGAGCAGACGCAAGCCCTTGCTCTAGCTCTCACTCTGAGGTGTCTGTAAGTTGTAATTTTCTGGGCCTGTTTCTCTCATTTGTAAAAACGATGGGGTTTTACTGGATGATGGTACAGTTTTCACTGGCAAATTCTTTCTGCAAGTACACAAAACAGCATGGGATTTAAATTCGGAATGGCTTTCCTGGACTGTCTGCCCCTTACACACATCTGGCGTTCAGTCGATGGATCTGCACGGGGTGATCTTCACTCTAATCTATGCAAACTGTGCACTCCCTTTGGGAAATTTTGCAAAGAGAAGTGGTGCTGGAGATGAGAAAAGGAGGTAGACCATAAGAAGACTAAATTTGTATAATACATATGCATTTAAGATAAATCTAAGTTATACATTTATGCATTATTGATGTTCTTCATACACATCGAGTTAGTCTTATAGAGTCTGCAACAATATTGATCCATTTAATCCTGTTTTTCTGAAAATGACATTTTCCACAAAGAGCTAACATCTCTCAACTGTATTCTCTTATTTGTTAACAACTCCAGTTACTAGGCATGTAATCCCAGGGATTGCAAGGGAACTACAGAAGAAGAGATGGTTGAATACTATCTTTTCAGCTTTGTTATTGTGTATGAGAGAAAAATCCCATTAGAACAATTCCCGCTTCGGAGCCTTATGGGTAAAGGGATGGAGCTTTGGTTTGTATCTGGTTATGATCCTTTAAGAGGTGAAGAAGCCATAATAACTTCTCTCTTTCCAAAAGAAGGGCACACCCTGCAGTGACCTCACTCTGAGCCGATTTGCACTTGCCCGCCTTCAAGGGCAAGACTTCAGCCTGGTTCCGATGACTCTTACATGGTGCTAACTTCGGGGAGGGCAGTTTCTGACTTCCTGATAATTATGTTCCAAAAGTTAATGTTTATGTTGGATAATCTGAACTTCTATCACAACATGTCCCGCTTAAACAATGACGAGTGATTACCTTCCCAGGACAGGGCACAATATACTTGCAAGATAGAACTGTCGGTGATAACCTTATATTAAAGTTTATAAGTAGACATCACATTATCAGAAAATACATTTGGTTTCCTTATTACATCTTTGTATAGCAATGGCCTTCTCTTCGTCTGTAAGGGCTTATAGGGTGGGAGTGAGGTAATGTCTCTAGTGCATTTTTAATCATGCATTCACTCAACAGATATTTATTGAGTATCTGTTATGAGCAATGTAGTAATGTAATTGATGACTGTGCTTGAATACATCTGCATGACACAAGCCACCTTCCAACTTAGGCTATTTATTCCTCAGATGGGGACAAAATGCAGGAGGATCTACGGGGGGAACACAGGCTTTGATTTATGCCTCTAAGGTTCACAAGTCAGCTGCTGTCTGATCTCACGCGTTTAATACTATCATGCCTTCATACAAATTAAAAATACTCTTTTTTGTTTTTTAAATTTAAATTTCCGGTTTAATATTGTTTTCTTTGCATTTATAATGTAGCATAGTCCAAATAAGAATATTGGACTAACTTCTTACAGTCAATAGAGCATTAACTTAATATTTAACTTGAAAACCATTTATAACTAGTAATAGAACTTAAAATATTTAAAAAATGAGTTGTACATTATACCTAATCTTTATCCTTGGAAGGATACTATTTCTGGAATTTTGTTTACTCTTTTGATTTTGTAACCTCCTTACATAATAAGAAAGGTAACATCAAATAATCAATCTTATTACTAAGCAATAGAAACTATAAATAATTTCACAGTGATGGCCACTGATTTGGAGTTATGTTAAAAGAGTAATCATTCCCACTACAGTATTACTTTCCCCTTTATTTCAGAATATTTTGGGGGTACACAGCTTGGGTTCCAGAGTCAAGGTTGTAGGAGTGTTTTTAAGTCCCCTACACTGTGACAAGAGCAGAGTATCTCACGAGTGTCCAGCATCCTTTGCACCACAACTTTGCTTATTTATATGGAGAACTTAACGCACAGCCAAGTTGTGGAGCAACTGTGGT